GAGGGGCGTGGGGGAGGGGCGAGTGCCGGAGTGGCCACAGCCAGGCAGGGTCCGAGCACCCAGCGCGCCAGCCCGAGACCGGCCGGCCTGGTGGGCTGTGGCCACAGACCCCACAGGGCAGCCTGACCATGCAGGACCCTCGTGTGCCCACCAGGGGCTCCCTGGGATGAAGTCTGCACTGCTGAGTGGGGGTCTCAGCCTGGGACCCCCGAGACACCCCACATTTCTGAGTGGGTCGGCAACCAGAGGCAGCACCCTGGACTCCCTGCTCCCACCCACGCCCTGCCCATGGCCATCTGTCCCGGTCACGGCCCTGGCAGGATGAACCCCGCGTCAGGGCAGGGAACGCAGGAAGCTCGGGCACAGGCCCAGCCGTGTCCGGGAGGCGTGTCCAGGGCCCATCCCTGGAGCTGACGAGAGGTCACTGGTTCCTAGAAGCCCGCCCACCCCGCTCTGCCGACCAGGCCGTGACCCTGCACTCAGCCTCACCGTAGCCAGGCACGGCGGCGTGGAAGAGGGCTCGAAAGGGTGAAGGGGCAAGGAGTGTGTTTCCCTCCGCTTCTGACAACTGACAGTCCTTGGGGGCCTCACAGCCTCTCCCAGGGATGTGCGAATCCATGCCACACCCTGCTCTGCCCCACCAGGACACCTTGCCCTCCTGCTCCTCAAACCAGCGTCCCTGGAGGGGATGCCACCCTGTGCCTCCCACCTGCCAGCCATGAGCCAGCACTCCCAAAGCCCCCAGGACATGGTGTGGCAGGCGTCAGAGGAGCAGCCAGCTCCAAGTCAGGACCTGGGTCTGCTCACGTGGGCTGGGGCCGCACTCACCTCCAGGTTGATGAAGACGGCAGCCATGTCCGCTGGGCTCAGCACCAGCCGCAGGGGACACATGTAGTTCTGGAAGAGAGAAGCCCACCACTGCCACCTCACCTGGAGGACAAGTGCCACCTTCAAGGCCACAGCTGCTGCCAGGAGGGTCTCCGAGGGGCGGACACACGGGCACGGCGCGTGGGGGATGGTGCCCGTGTATCTGCAGAGAGGCCTGGGCACGGCACATGGGGGATGGTGCCCGTGCACCTGCAGAGGGGCCTGGGCAGGGCGCATGGGGGACGGTGCCCGTGCATCTGCAGAGGGGCCTGGGCAGGGCGCGTGGGGGACGGTGCCCATGCATCTGCAGAGGGGCCTGGGCAGAGACTGGGTGGGCACACGAGGGACAGATGGGGTGGGAAGAGGGGTTGACCAGAGCGAGGCTAGCCTGGGGCCAGGGGACAGCCCAGGACTCTGGCTGGAGGCCCACTCAGTGACCTGTCGGGCTGCACTGGCCTCCACACCACAACCAAGAGGAGCCAGTGAGAGTCGCACTTGGAAACAGCCCTGGGCTTCTCAACCACGGGCACTGGCAGTGACAATAAGGACACAATGTCAGGGACGTGCCCTGAGCCAGGCTGACCAGGTGTCCACGGAGACCGGACTGGGGTGGGGGCAGGCATGAACAGGGACTCTGGAGTCAGCAGGCCAGCAGGGGTGAGGGAGGACTCTGATGGAGAGCTCGGGGCCTGCAGCATGAGGCATGAGGCTGCCTACAGGTGGGGCCACTGCACCCCACTCCGCAAGGGAGAGCCGAGTGCAGAGGTGAGGGCCACGCTGGGCTTGGGGAGCTGTCCACAGAGAGCCTGGACAGAGTGGCCCCCACAGAAGCCAGTCCAGGCCAGTTTGGGCTCAAAGGAGGAGCAGACACAGCGGAGTGGGGTGCAGGAGGCTAAGGGGAGACATAGGGGCACCTGGTGGCAAAGCCCAGAGAGTCACTAAGTCCTGTCCACCCTGTGACCGCACCCCCAGGAGACCGGAGCCCTGCAGTGACCCCGAGTGGCCACTGCTGTTTCCCAGCGGCCAGAGCCCACCCACACCTTCTCGATGTCCTCCAGGGTTCGGCAGTACTTGGCCTCTGTCTCCTGGATCTCCAGTAAGCAGCAGTTCCTCTTGTCATCCTCGGTCATGCCCATTTTCTAGAAGAAGGACAGACCTAAGCCAGGTCCCCAAGGGCCCGGTCACCTGCACCACGAGGCACCACCCTACCACACAAGAGGACGCCTCCTCGAGTGTTCCCCCGAGACCGACAGGTGAGAACAGTCGGAGGGGAGAGTAGGGGGCCTCCTTGTCTGCTCAGCACCTGAGTAAACTGGGGGTGGGGGGGGGAGGTGATGTGACATGGGGACAGAGTGAAGGATGGCATGGAGGCTTCTGGAATCCCAGGCTCCTGCTCCCTCCCGATTCTGAATCTCAACTCTGCACTAGTCAGGGACTAGCCCTCAAGGCCCCCGCTTGGGCACAGTGCAGCTGCAGGGTGAGCAGGCCGGCCATCCCCTGAAGACCTGCTTCCGCTGTGAACAGATGTCCCAGGGCCCATGACCCCACTGGGCCAGGCAGGCCTCCAGACCAGGTCAAGATAACAACCCTTCGACGGGGTACCAAGGACAACCTATGCAGGTCTGCCCCAGCTCCCAGGAGAACGTGGCCAGGGCTGACCAAGACGTTCCACCCACTGGGGCAGGACGTGGGCAACAGACGGGACACTGGGACAGTGTAGGCTTTCCCACGCGGAGCTCTCTCAGGCTCACTTAGGCCATGCAAGCCACATGCGGACAGCTCTGGATAAACAGCCCAGTGAGGTTAGGAGCCACGTCGCCATCCCTTGGAAACACCCTGGGTCCTGTAGGGCCTGCCCGGCTACAGAAGGGGGCTGGCAGGCCAGGGGCAGGCAGCCACATGACCTGGGTTAAGACACCCCAGGCCTACGCAGTGGGTTCACTGTTACCAGGGCTTCACAGGGGTGTTGAGGGTCCATAGTGCCTGAGGCCACCTTGCAAGGTGGCAGGACATGCCCAGCCGCCCGCGTGTGCACTTACCTGCATGTACCTAATCTGAGAGCGTGAAGACGGGAACAAGAGACAGACCAGTTAGCAGGGCCGACCAGCCTCCAAGCTGTGCGCTTGGGGAGTCGGGGTGCCCACCCCACAATTCGCCACATCTCAGCCCTCGGTGTTGGTGGGCTGGGAGGAGGACAGCCCATGCCCACCGTGCCCGGGCTCTGAGACTGGGTTCTGCCACCCTCCGGCTTTTAGCCCCCTCGGAGGAGCCACCACCCGTCACCTTCCACTTAGACTGTCGGGATAGCCCCAGACAGGACAGGGGAGGAGACGAACCCCTGCTTTCTCACGTGGGACCCTCCTGCCAGCCCTGCCTGGACAGACAGGAGAGCTTTGCCCCAGCAACGGGTGCTGGGACTCTGCAGGACGGGGGTGGTTTCAGGACACAGGCCACCTGTCCCTGGGGGGGCTCTTGTCCTCACACCCGAGCGTCAGAACCAAGGACAGCACTACAACCCAGGGCTAGCCACTCAGTGTATCCCCCAGGAATACTCCGTGGCTGGGCGGGGACTCTCCGGGCCACCGTACCCATGAGCTCAGGCCACCCAGGGGACGTCCAGCTCTCAGACCTGGGGGAGGGAAGGGCCCCGCATGACAGAGGCCATTGCCAGATCCAGGCCTGCCCGGCTTTCATGGGCTGATGGACCAACTCTGGGGAGTGAGGGGGTCCCCCACAGTGGGGGCGGGGGTGGGGCAGCGGCTCAGCCTCCTGCCCCTGCCAGGTCAGCGCTCTGGGAGGGGCGGCCCCAAGAAGCATGGGCTCCAGGAAGAGCCCGTCCCTTCCACAGCGAGACCCCAGCAGCAGCGAGGGGAAGCCCACTTCAGACTGCTCTGAAGGGTGAGCAGGAGCTCTGTGGCCCACGCCCGGTGGGTGTGGCAGGCGGCGTCAGCTGGGGAGCGCCGTGAGGCCTCCCTGGGCAGCTGTCTCCCACCGCAGCCGTGACCCCACACAGATGAGACGCTGACACTTGCCCTCGGAGGACTTGCCCACATCTTCGAGAAGCGAGCCGGTGTCAGAAACCCCCACAGCTGGCGAGGGACAAGTCACCCGTCCCCAGGAGCTCTGGGTCTGCAGAGGCTGCAGTCGGCCCCAGCAGGTCCCCATCACCCGTCGCAGCCAGAGGACCCCTGCCGTCCAGCAGCGGGGGCAAGAGGCCGTGCCGGAGCGAGTCGCTGGCGATCACTAGCGCCACCGGAGCTGCACCTCCTGGGCCATGGAAGGCGCACCGCGGGCTCACGGTGCCACCGCAGCTCCCGCTCTCCCAGCGGCTTGTGATTTGGAGTGGTTATTTTCCTCCACACACTTCATTTAATCACGGCATCTTTCTCCTCATTAGCAATCACAGGGATGCCCATCACACCTCACCCCACTGAGAAGAAAGCTGGCTTCTTCATGATTCTCTCCTCCCCCACCTCCTAAGTGAAGCCATGGCACTTTCTATTTTATATTTTATGTCAAGACACATTTACACCGCAGCTCCCGCTCTCCCAGCGGCGGGCGCCAGCGTGCTGCGTGCGGCCCGGCGCACAGGTGCTATTTTAAGGCTCCCTGGGCAGGAAGGCTGAGCACCCTGCAAACCCCCACGGCAGAATGTCATGGAGCGTGGCCTGAAGGTCCAGCACAGTGTCCCGTTTAAGGCGACCTCACCCACGTCGACAGGGAAGGGCACCAGCCGCCAGGCGGCTGGGGCGCTCTGGAAGGCCCCTGGGGGGCCCTGTGCCCTGAGCACCGGGCGGCTCAGCTCGCGGCTCGGGGGAGCCAGGGCGGGAGGCTTACCATGGGCTGCTGTACCTCCACCTTGATGATGTCCTCATAGATGTCGTCGCCCTCGTCCTCGCACGGGACGCAGTCGTAGATGTCCTCGCCCAGGTCATGCTCGCTGCACAGGAGGGGGGGAGGGCGGTCACCACACCATTCCCATGCCTGGAGCGTGTCTACGTGGGGGTGCAGCCCAGGGGCCTCAGGGACAGGAGTGGCCACCTGCCCCGGCCTCACCCTCGACCATGATGGCTGGGTGCCCCCTCCCAGGGCTCGTGCACGCTGAGCTGGGTGGCATGGGGCACCTGGGGAGAGTGGCCTGCTGCCCTGCGATGGTATGTTAGGAACCCTGCCAAGGCAAGCCCCAACCACCCCAGCCTCCAGGAGACGCCGGAGGCCCA